CATTGCCAGTATTCTACTGGGCCAAAGATTAGTCTCAATTCCCATAACAAGCCATTCCATAAAATACTTAAACGGCGACCTTACTTTATAACAGTCTTTCTGAAAAAAATGCTCAAGAAATGCTTGCGAAAAGAAAATATTTACTGAACACAGTATTAGGGGACCGGGTCACTCCTCCAAGTTTGATAGAAAGGATCTCGAAATTAATGGGTACATGCAATATAGCACAACATCACAAAACCCATAACATTCGTCAAGACTACATTTCATCTCTAATAAATATAAAAGTGTTTTAAGACGCATCACAGTAGAACTGACTCCAAAAGAAAGGAAATGAAAATGAGGAGTAAGTCCCAAAGGTTCAAAAAGGATCGGGTAATTGCAAACACGCCTGTTCGAAATCAACAAAGCGCTTCAAGTGATCTACATATGCATATAGAAATTAGAACTACGCTCATATGTATGCAACCCATGTGACAAGCAACGGATCGTAGGAAACAGTAAAGACATAGAGCGCAAGTTATTGACAAAGGGAAGAAAATGCGAGAAACAATTTGAATAATGGAAAACCGAAATGGAATGAGCCACCATTCTAGAACTGATGGAAATAATAGGGAGGTTATGATGTGGCTCTTTTCCGTCTGCACCATCTCTCAGTAAATGAAGAACTGGCTAACCCACGATGTCCAATTCCGTGTGCGTATTTATGGGAATAATTGGAGCGAAGCTGACAGCTCTGCACTGATTGAGAGAACGAAGAGCGTTTTATCCATCGACCTCAAAAATGAAATTTATTAAATTGAAACTCATTACCAAAACAGTTTAGCCATTTTTTTTTATCTTAAAACGAAAGGACTTGCGGGCATTTAAAACCTACTTGAGAATCTAGAAACGGCCCTGGGTTGCTTGTTGGAAAGCTGCACCAGCAGCTGCAGTAGTCGCAGCTGTGGCCGCTGCTTGCACGTTTCTGTCGGCCATCACTCCATTTGTGAATTCTTGGCGAGCTTTATCGATAGAAAATCCTGATCCTCTGAAAGTGTCATGCATGTTTCGGATACGATTTCCAAATAGATGAGGATCACGATGATGGCGTAATCACTTGGGGACAAACCTGTACAACTTGTGCACCCTGATTAATGCGTATACCATGCCAGCAAGAGCAGCGGTGAAACAGAGGGCCGAAACCAACATAATCAAGGCGATTGGAATCGAAACTGAAAGAACCATGGCCCATTACACGCTATATATTGATTATAAATTGCGTAAACTTTTCCTTATAGGGATAAATGCAAACCTCCAAAAGTCTCGATGGTGTTGATCCAACCGCATGCGTATGAAGAGACTCCAAGGGTTTGCACGAGAGTAAATATAGAATGGAAAAATAGCACAAAGAAGAATACCTAAACATTTCAACATTTATCACATAACATAGAACTTTTCTTCCGCTGAGCTAGCCAATACTGAAGTTGGTGGGCGATTTCCCCTTTTATGCAAGCAATGAAAAAGGCCCTTTGTGAAAGATTTTCTTCTGCTAGTTTCGGTAATCTATTTTAAGGGCTGCATTTGATTGTGTAAGCATATGAACAAGTGGAATCTATGAAAATCTTCTCGACGATCTCGTCCATTGAAAACGGTAAAGATCTTCCAACCCAAAAACTTCTTACTCTCTGAATCATATCCATTTTAAACTAGCTCTATTCTATTATAGGAAGAAACAAATGAAACAAATTAACCGCCATAGACGAAAGCTACACGCCATTTTAAACACGTATCACTTTTTTTGTAACATTTTCGGATGCACGTGGATGCATTCGAAAAACTACTCAACGTCAGGATATTTTCTGCTCAGAAATGACAGTTACGTCCCGGGAATCAACCTGTTCACGGCCTAAATGACTTACCGTGGTGAGAACACTTAATCCTATCCCCAGAATTACGAATGTCATCATATCACATTTAGTTTAATAAGTGAGCTACTTATAGATCATGAGTATGGGAAAGGGAAATATGTCTAAGAAAAAGGAGGGAAGATGCCAACGCGAGTTTTTCGACAATCTGTCCTGAGCTGCACATCAAATAACTCATTCGCCACCTACAATGCAATGTGGGTGTGGATTCCTTCTATATCAGCAGTCACAACAATGCAAGCATCACCCGCTATCAGTAGAAAAAGATTAGGCTTAGCCCTGCAAACTGTGGGTCACACCTTATCGTGCTCGCGATGCAACTGGCCCCCAGCTGGCCAGGGAGGCTATTTTTTGTAATAGCCTATTTTTATACTTCTTCACGCTTTTGAGTGTCGAGTAGGGTTACAACTTTCTGTGAATACTTGATGCGCCCTTCGCTACAGTAACGGAACTACAGTATCTTCAACTACAAAAACTGGAGAACAAATATGCTTGAAGATTGTGCGCTAAAATAACCCTGCCTATTCAGTTGATGCTTCAAAATCATGCCATTTTCATTTTACATGCTTCCGTGAATCTGAATGTAATAGTTCAATAGTGTATCGTTGAGGTTTAGGTCCCAAACATGTGGTAAGTATTTAGAGACGAGAAGTTTTTTGCTCCATAAATCATTACTAACTAAAACTATATGTCATGATGTAGCACTAACATGTTGTCTATAACTTTTCCCACAACACTTTTGTGGAAAATTTATGATGAGAAAGCGCATACAAAATAGGGTGCCCGAAGTGTCAGCTCGAAAAAAGAAAACGTGCTCGGTTCCATATGCAAGACATGTTTGAAGTGCATGGTCGCCCAGAGGTTAAAAGATAAAAGGACATAGTCATGGGACGTTGATCGATCTCGTCTGAGAGAAGCGCCTCCGCATTCTACTTCCATTTAAAATCGCGACTTATTGAATGCGTATGTGAGCTATACAAAGAAACGATGGCCAGCCGATGTAAAAGCCAGTGCTCTTATCTTGCCAGACGGATTTGGTACCGATTAGCCGACCCCGAAGGGATGGAAAGCTTCGTTGGTCTGGGCGGATATCGATCCGGCATTCGAACACGTGATTATGCGTATGTGACAGCTGCCACCTGCCATTTACCAACCTCCACTCTTGCCAAAAGGTTAAGAACGCATCAAGGGGCAAGTAATTGAATCAAGTGCGAGGAACCTATAAGGGATTGAATCTTTCACTCAAGCCTTATATCGACGATGTAGCACCAATGCGGTACATCTTCGATATAAGGTTAATAACAGTATTTGAAGATCATTTTTTTTTGGAAAGCTCCCAACTTTCGGAATTACTTATACGCTCTGCTCATCACTCGAGTCATACTGCATTAGAACTAACCATAAAGTTGAATGACGAGTCATTACGGAACGCTTTGTAGACAGGACGGAACCAGAATAAAAATGAACATGGTGAAAATAAACATAGTTGTATGATGGCAAGCAGCAACTGCCCAACAGGACCTAAAAATGTTTAGGTTCACATGTGGAAAGGATCACGCAATAAGTACGGTACGCTTTTGAGATTGTAACGACTTTGCAAAAAAAAAATTGAAAAAGAGGACACCTCCTGCGAAGAGCATGTAGAAAAGCGAAGCAACCACATTGACTGTTAGAGCCAAGACGTAGATTAAAAATACATAATATACAACAGTCACTGTTTTCTGGAACTGCACTGGGATCTCAACTTCAATGTCCTGAAAGAATAAACGTACATAAAAAGATTGACAACAACAATAGCACTCACTTTTTTGTGAATTCCAGATGAAGCTTTACTGAAAAGGAAAATTCAGTGGTCTACAATCTTAATTACCTGATAGAAGCAAGGCTCGATTGGGATAAAAGACGGGAGGGGCGGCCAATTGTGCGGATGTTGCGCAGTGTTTGCTGCTTCAACAGATTTAGAAATTAGAAAGAAATCGACAAAAAAAAAACAAAAATAGCGTCTCATCAAAAAAAAGAAAAGAAAAGCGAACCAATATTGCCAGTTATATTCTGTTGCTGCTGACGCCGATTGAGCTCCTCTTCACGCATTCGTAACTCCTGTGCCTTTCTTTCAAGTTCTTCTTGCTTGCGAAACAGTTCATCACTCATGGTGACGGGAGTTCCACCAGCTCCAAGTCCGGATACACCCTGTCAAAACTCAAAACTGCGAATTTTTTCGGATAGGGTGCAATACTGTTGTTGATGGTGGAACAACGAAAAAGATAAGGATCTTTCCGATGTAATATACAAGAGGAATCGCTGAGAGTAAAAGATCAAAGTTTCAAGCGAAGCACATGCTTTAAAGCTCGGTAAATGCGCCACTTTTAGATGTGCACATATCGCTAGACCGCCTGGGGAGCTCCTTTTCGATTAATCGATAGCGCGCTGCCTCAGCTTCAGAGTCCGTTATTTAAGAATGCAAATTAGGTAAAACTGCGATTTCTATGATGTCATACGTGAAGAAGTATTGTCTTGTAGCATGTAAACTATTGATGGGCCCAAAGAAGCGACTATTTCGTTCTACCCAACTCTGATATTTTTCAAAAAGTTTTTAATTTCAAGTGCACGACAGGCATAGGACAAATACTTTGCTGGTACTTTGAGGAGGCTCAAACATTACTTAAATGTACTTCAAATCTCAGTATACGCACTCGTGGCATTTTTCTGAACCTAACCCGTAGACTTGCTCAAAATAGTTCCATCTGCAGAGCAGTTTAATACACTAGGTAACTACTAACTACACAACTACTTCCAAGTTAGGTCGCTTCGCATATCCTTGCACTTTAATCTAGCGAACTTGAAATGTGCAATTCTGGTAGTGATAGAAATAAACTTCCCAATCCAAGAAATCGATAACAGTTCATTTGAGAAAGTTAAAAGAGAGCAGTCAATCGAATCAGCTGTTTACTTCGCAATTAAGTGAGTGGAGGTACGATCTAACCTGATATGAAACTGAACTTCCCCTCCCCTAATCGACATAGAGTAACAAGTTTGGAAAAGAATAATTTCTTAGGAATATTCGTGATCTCCTCTTAATATGTTCTCAGTAACAAAAGAGCATGCGTACAAAGCTAGAACAAGTGGAATTCATAAAACTCTCGAAAAGAATCCATGAGTAGCCACCGGACTTCTTGCCCACAATCACGGCTCAAGAATTATGATTTGAATCTTAATTATAGCATAACAGCCTAAGAATAAGAGTTGAGCTTATCTCTGCATGAACACAAAACTGTAGGTAACCAGCAAGAACATAAACTATGCCTAAATTAACTATGTTAGTTAGCTAGGAATAACAGGTCGGGCATGTTGTCATGAGCGATGCGATTCAATAACCGTGAGGTAATTCAGCTCGTGGCTATGCGGTTAACTATAACATTAACTAATCATATCAGCCATTTTATTAATCAGGACGAGGAATACAAGGCAGTAGAAAGATGTAAGCACGCTGTGCAAAGAAGCCATTTGACCGAGTGTTAAAGAATAGAAGCGCGAGCTTAATCTTGAGAGATCAGAGAAAGAGCCCCTGTGTCCAATACAGAACAGTAAAAAGAGCATGGCAACGTCAGTCGCCCAGAATGATTACATTCATACCACTTACCTGATGCGTTGGCACGTTTGCGGTCTTGCCTTGGCTGGCGAACGGATTAAAACTATCAGCTCCTTCTGAAGTACCCCCTCCGCCACCACTGGATCCCGTTTGTTTCGATACGTTTTCCTGAAAACTCTGTGCTTACTGGGCGAAAACCACTGAGCAAAAAAACCAAAATGTCATGAGCAAGGTGGCGTCCATTAGTGAGAAGTATTTTTTTACAGAGCCATTAGTGAACCAAAATCACTCTGTACGATTCAGCTTGAGCGCACATCAGTTACATTTGGATGAATGAAAAAGAAGTTTTTGGAGAGCAGTAACAATCAGTTCATAAGCTGGTATAAGCAGTAGTTATAAAGTGGAAAAAAATTAACCTACGGGAGAAATAAGATTTTCACAAGAACCACATCGATCGAAGGCTTTCAAGGCGTAACACTGTACCACGCCTAAACAATAAACCCCACTCCACCCTACCCATCTTTCGTCTTCAAATCTACTATCTTCGGGTCTTTGCCAGTTACTCTACTTAATAAAGCGAAACTTCATCTTTTCATGAAGCCGATGCTAGTCACTCTACAATATTTTTTCATGGAGCCGTTACGTTCCCAAAAGGTAAAATGTAGTCAAATCGCTTCCTTGCAGAAATATGAGTTTGCAGTAGCTTTTATAAATTCCTTTCATTTCTAAAGCAGATATCACCACATTTAAAACGCAAATTCCTCGCTTCGGAGAATGAGCTGCATAGATTCAAAGCGAAAGTATTCATATTGAAATTCACGCATAGGAAACTGTTAGAAGAGAGGATGGTAGAAGAAGGCATCTGAGACAGCGATTTCAATGAAGTTTCGAAAGAACACCATTTTGGTTCAGATTGATTCGAGAAACGAAATCTCGCAATGCATTCTCGATTCTGAGACTGTTGGTTCTCGAAAGCATGAATACGTCCCATGATGAAATAGTGTGCCTAACTACAAACCTGCGATCCGACCTTGTATGGTATTAGCAGTCACCGCTTTCCTCGATTTCCACACAACATCATGCTACGCGTATTTTCTCAAAAGTGCTTGGCTCTTAATGAAATAAGCAAAAGTGAGCCAAAAATAAAAATGGCCGCTCTTTCGACGAAAAGTTTAATCCCTACAACTTTTGATTAATTGCGTTCGATGAAGGGCAACTTGTTCTATGTATTTGCGATTCTCCCCATTGTAACCTTCTCACAAACAGTTCATAACATTCATAAGAAAAACGGAAAGCAACAGGACATTGAAAACCTAAAGAATATTGAAGTTAAGCGACGACCATAACCTATAAGTTTCAAACTTCAGACTAACAGAACTTTATCAGAAGCCAAAGCACCATTGGACATGGGAGTTACAGCAACTGATTTAAGAAGGCGAGCTTAGGAGTCGCTTAGCTCGATTTCAACCTTGTCACGAAATTTTCTATTTCGAAGCAAAACCGATCATCGCGTGATCATCACCGGTTATTTCAAGCCATAATTCAGTTGCTATTTCACACACAGAACTTACACGTTTAGGCGTAGGTGGCGTAAAATTTAACTGAAATCACGATAAAACAGCAAATAACACGTAACACTCAGGGTATGAGACAATCTGAGGAATCTAAAAACCAGAAACACCTCAAACGTATACGAAGAAAAGAGTACTTTGCATAGTAGTACCTTATATCGCCACTATGAATATGAATGCTATAGAACAGAACACGCTGTCTTATTTAACTTACTTTACTGCGGCGTTAAGCACCAAACCTTAGCAATACCAAATTATCCAAGTGATACCCCCAACTCTTAAAAATATCATTTAATTATCAAAATGTCTTCTAGTTTTCACTTGATGTATCAAAACTGGACATGTTTTCTGCTGAACCATTCTACGGAAGCGTGCGATATTTCCGAATCTCTCGCAATACACTGAAGCTTCTAGTTGGATGCTTTCGTTGGGCCTACGGACTATTTGAAGTTAGTCCTTTGAGGCCATATCATAAACGCCGAGTTTCTTAGGTCTTGATAGACTAAAGATGAATGCTGCCCATGTCATCATGTGAAATTCAATGAATATGCTACCTATGATGCGGGAAGTAATGGATGAAAATATCTGAATCGTTCAATGCTATTCTTCGCCTACCACATTGGTCTAAAGAACTACCCAATAAGTGTAAATCCATATAAAACTTACAGCGAATGGATCTGCAAATGGGTTGCTGTTCAAGGCCATTTCATTCAATGCTCGTAAATACCTGAAATAAATAAAACTAATGACCTTGCTCTCAATTTTCCGCACGAACAGGAAACAAATTACAAGTAAATCGCCTACGCACACGCTACGAAGGAGACCCACACAAACTATTCACACGTCATTCTGGTTCGGGCTTGAGCTCAGATGTTGGGCACTTAAAAAACTTGCTGGCACAAGTTGTTCGTGGACAATCGTGGGCTACTCCTGAGGGCAGAGCAACTACTATTTTAACCAGAAACGGTCTCCCACACTCATCCCTCGCACCAAAGCCCCCACCCATTCGCGAAGACAACGATAAGAAAGTATTATTCGGCGTCCACCAGAACAGGTGAAATCATCGGCAACGGACTTCGCTCGGAAGGTGATTCAAGGGAGTTGGCACCAGCCCAGCAACCGTGGGTCCCGAGCGGAATGTGCCGGGTGGCAGAGACGCAGACGCGGCCGCTCTAGTCGTCGGCGGCCTTCCATCATCGGCCTGGGTGGATACTGCCCTGCGTTCTTGTCACAAAGTGGTCGTCGCGTGTCGAATTCACTGATGTATTCGCTAGTATTCTGATGAAGATTACCTGGGAGAGTGGCGATTGGCCAGGCGCCAGGATCGAGCCTGCTATCACGTACTTGGCATGGGTGGCCCAAACGGACCGACCAGGCCATGGCTTGCTTGGTGTGGGCTCTGACTCGGGCTCTGTTGGCATTACGCTGACTGATCTCCATCCGACTGACGACGATAATGGCCGTTACAACTTTAATCTCCGTGGACATCATTCTGCTATCTGTATGGTGACCTGGAATCGAGTGCAAACGAAACTCGCCTCATGTGATTCATCGGGAGTTATCTACGTGTGGGTGCGCAATGACGACCGATGGTCCGTGGAGCTGGTAAACGATCGAGGAGTGAAGGTGCGTGACCTCAGTTGGAGTCCATGTGGTTCTTCGGCACTTATTTGCTACGAGGATAATTTTGTGCTCATCGGCTCGTCTACCGGCCAGAGGATCTGGAGCAACTCGTTCCCCACCGCGATCACCGTCACTGCCGGTGTCTGGGTTCCGGACTCGAGGCAACTCGTGCTTGGCTTCGCTTCCGGGAACATTCATGTGCTGTCCGACCAAGGCGCTAACATCACGGAACGCTCATTCACAACAGATCCGATTGTGAAGTTGGCATGCTCCCCGACGAACACCAAGGACGATCGCTGGATTCTCGCGATGTTAACGAGCTCGAATAAAATCCTCATGATAAGCGCTTTCGATCAAATCGACCCACTCGTTTACGGTTCTGCTCACACGGTTGTGCAGATGCAGTGGAATAGTGATGGCTCGATTCTCGCTTTAATCAATACCAACCACGAACTGGTAATGTTGGACCGTGAGGCCCGTGTTATACATAAGGAGACCTTGGCCTTACCTAAGGATAAGCCACTGTCTGCCCTCACTTGGGCTCACGAGGGGAGAGCCGTTATTGTCGCTGCTGGTGGCCACTTGGCAATAGGCAAACTGCTGTTGGGTGTCCCATTTCTGTTCGATCTAGTCACTTATGAGCTGTGGCGATATCTCGGCTCGGAATCGAAAAAAGTGGATTCATTGCCGATACCTGTGAAAGAGAAGAACGCCTTGCGATCACTTGATCACCACATCATCCGCGTGAGTGATTTCCTTTGAATTTCCAGTTTCTTTTTTGTACATAGTGCTGATCCAATTGATTTCTCCTCTTTCAATTATGAGTCATTTAGCTTTATAATTTGTACGTTTTCTGGGAATGGCAAGACATCGATTTGGGGGGTTTTTGCGATGTAGTTAACGTTCGCGTGGGGCGTGGGAATATTGAATAAGCATTCGAAACGGGATTATTTAGAGAATAGAAACCCATTGCTTTTGTGTGCAGCCGTTAGTTGTTGAATGTTGGCGAAATTATGGTCATAGCTGTTTTTATGTGGCGGTTTCAGTGCCGAATACCACGATTAGACGATTTGTGTTCCTTCGTCTGTAGCGCAAGTGAAGCAAGATGTTACTGCACGATCAAACCACTGTCGAGGGGAAGTCACTCCTATGTTTTATGTATGGAGCACCTCGGAGGATTAGTGCCACTTCTAGTCGGTAAGTTTCGTGAATTATCCGTTATGTTTAATTTAATTGCTATTCATAACCATGTCATGGAGTCGTTGAGAAGCATAATCGTTCATGTGAAGTATTGTTTGACGTTGCTATTCTGAGCTTAATGCCTTAAATTTGGACCTCTATGCAGCTGCGATGCTGCCTTTTGACAATTACCACTTGCTACTGCAAATTGTAGGAAAAACCACACCAGAATATGTTCGTTCAGGCCGACAAGTGAATCGATTCTTGCCACAGTTCCACATTTCTTTGCATCCATCGGATGGTCAGGTGCTTTCTACTGGGTCCTCTGCTCAAGTTGGTAAGCATCATTTCGTACCTAGTTTTTGATTTGTTACATTTTTTGTGCACTTAATCGTCGCTCGTTGGAGTCTCTGCACACCCGTTTCCAATTTCACACGTCCTACAGTGATATTTCTTCCCGTGTTATGTTCATCCTTCCCACATATCGTTATAAAGACTTCGTCGACAGACGAAATTATAGTAATTTCTGAATTTGTGCATCTTTTGTGAGCTTTTCCATGCGTTTCTCTACTGTTCTGGTGAGCACTGATAACGTAGCGCTCCTTCAACTTCTCTTTTCCCTAACTTCTTGACTTGTACATACCATCGCCTCTCAAGCGACTTTATGATGGGAGATGGAAACGACCCTAGCCACCGTTTCATTACACTTTAAATCTACATTTCGTAGAAAATGGCTTCTTGCGAAAGACATCGTCTTGTTTCATCTATTTTTTATTTACAAGCGGTAGGAATTCTTTGTAAGGAGGAAGTTGTGAGGAAGTTTGGACGAATAAAATGGCATCAGCGAAGGTCGAATGGTTGGTGTGAAAGTTAGAGATGATAAACTTGCAATGGTCACCTGCATTTATGAGACCCATTTTGCAAAATGACGTCGGAAAGTCTTGATTAAATGTTTTCAAAAAAAAAATCCTATGACCAGAATTTTGGTTGGCATCAGCATTGCCTCTTGTTTATATCTCGGCTAGATTTCATCCAATTGTTTATAGCTTCTCAATCGTTGAAGATCAATTGTCTTTTTGATGGTTGGTAGTGGTATTCTCTGTTTTGGCTGTCAGACGTGCTGCATGATTTCAGCTGATGAATCTAGAAATTTCGTTGCGTTGTTTCTATTATTGAGTCTTGTCTCCAGGTAATTGACGAGAAGGATTCACTAAACCAACCTTTCTGGTTATGATTCAGATTCACTAAAATTTTGCGTTTTGAACGTGATGATGATGACCATAATTGCATATGAATGACTTTCATGGGTGTGGAACTAGACCAGTTAAAAACCGTTCATTCACATGCCAGTTGAACCAGAACTTCTGTCACCCCTGATACGATTTAGTGCTAGGGCACTGGTTCGGACTTTTTTGTTTCAAAAGAAAGTTTCATGCACATATTGTTATTATGACTGTGGTAGGAAAGAATGGAGTTATCCGTAGGGCCATGTCACATGCGCGGGCCTCGGGTCGAATACCAGGTTGACACCCGATCAGGTCAACCAAACCTACTGTTCCCCAGAATGTATTTAAGATTTTGAATGAAGGTTGTGTGCGGGGCTCATAACAAAACGGGATCGATCAACTTTTGAAGGTCCCTCCTATTCTTAACGAAAAAATGCCCAAGCTCCTAATGTGGCAGTTTAATCCTTTATTTGTTTTGTAAATAATCTCTGTTCTAGTCCTTTTGCGTCGTTTCTGCTCTATTTTGTTCCAAGATTTCCGATCTCTTTCCATACCTGATTAGTGATCGTCGTTGTCATTGTGAAGTCAGAACTATCGATCGCTGAAATTCTGAAAGCAAATTTCTTGAATTGAAATCATCTAAAAACATTCTGTTTGGCGACTCACCTAAGTGCATTCTGTTTGGCGATGTGTATCAAATATTACGCCTGCTTAGCAGATCATTGGCCATTTTCTCTTTCATTCACTATTTCACTCTCTCTGGCAGGTGTCGCCCGGTGTGGCCAATCGATTCGCATAGCATCCAGTTTTACGCCAGTTGATTGTCACGTTGATTTCGATCACTCGTGTTAAACAGGTTCCTGTTCGAACTCACCGAATCGATAATGTTTAAGAACTGTCAGATGGATACGGTCAGGTGATCCGATAAGGGATTTTTTTGGCGCTTGGGTTTGGGGACATGAGATGGTGAAGCGATATATCGCGCCTCTTACATATAATGAGGTTTGCTATCCCCGAAAGTTTCCAGCAGAACTCAACAGTTGCGGAGATTACTCAAAGTAGTTGGCGATGACTTGTGCACAGGTAGCAGTCATTATAGTTATACTCAGAAACCACATTCATTTTTCTGCTTGTCGTTATACCTGAAGCAACCACCTGCTGGCCGTATTTCCTTGCACATAACTATTTTATGCCATATGGTTTAAATTGCAAGTAGACAACTTCAAGCTATCACATGTTATACTACCATTCCGACATCTGCGACTGGTCATTCGCGCGAGATATTGTGGCAGGGTCCTCTGACGGTGGATGGTCACAATTGTCAATATCGAGTAGCTATGGCTTAGTTCAAGATCGGTTAAATAACAAGTGGGATTGCTGATGTCCGCGCCTAGCTGGACTTTAAAAAGCCGATTTAAAGATTTAAAAAGCTGGCCGATTATAATGTGCTGCACAATCATAGCTGAGTTATTTAGTCTTTCTCCTATACCAGACCAATTTCTTCTCTTTTTATTACTTTCACAGCTCTCATCTTCAACAGCATCTTGGTGTTTGATGTTCCTGCACAATTAAAGATTCGGCATTTTTCACATTTGTTAAGTTTAGAGAGGCTAGTTGAAAATGAATGCAACTTTCAAATGTTAATTTCTTTTTATCCACACAACCAATAAATGTCAATCAGTTANAGTTACATATAGCACTTATAGTTTGATAATGCTTGGTCTCCTTTCTCTTAGTTCAATGAGTTTGAGTTTGTGGAAGAATTGCCTCTATTAGCGCGAAAACGAGCATGTCTAGAACGCGAAAGCGATCACGTTACTGTCTTACAGATTGGACTGGATTATGTTGGTAGGGGGTGGGATTTTGAATGCACAAGCTCAGGTCATTAAAACGCTGCTTGGCAACGCATATGATTCAAATCACAGTAAATTTTGAAGTGATTGAACCTAAATGTGGCTGGATACTGTCATGATTTGATATTGCCTCTCTGTAGTTGAGCAGTTGTACGGGTGTGGTGCAATAGGACCGAAATTGTTGCGTCGCGGCGAGAGAGATGCTGCGCGTAAAGGGATGTAGCACAATGCACTAGCAAGTAAGAAATACAGGAACAAAAGAACTAACAGTAGAATCATACCGAAAGTATCGCATAGCGATTGAACTGTACGAAGAACGCTAGAATGTCATAACGAGGAAAATGGTCCGCGACTGTCGCATGCGGCGGATCGATTACACAAAACCGTTTTCCCAGTTGTACATGTCATAATCGTCTGTTGGTCCTTTGCTTGTTTCATTCCGAAGAATCTTTGAAAGCACATTCTCATACTCCTTCTATTGAGATAGAACATCTTCTAAATGACATTTTGCGTTCGATGGCTGTAGGGTTAATCAAGGTCGGATATGAAGGTTTACGTTTTTTCCCTGTAGCACAACGGATTTTAATAGTTATACTGGTCCCCAAGAAACTTTCTTGAGCGAAAGTGGTGCCCAGATTCAAACTGTGAACACTGTGGCTTCTGAAAAGCTGAGGGCGACAACAAAATATCGCAACCTTAAATTTGGATTCTGTTTCATTAGTCTTCAGTTCGTACAGCAATATCGCAGCAGGACTACCAGATTCGGGATCTTCGACCCTTTCGCTCCAAACTGTGAAGCGTCGGTACAATGTATACACATAAAGAAGGACACAGTCGAATACTTGACATCATTTCCGATGTGCGGCAGCATAAAGGCCGTTTTCCAACTCGTAAAGGAGTACATGTCGAATATGGGACGACAGTTAGATCAATTATGTGGTTGAATAAGCAAGGAAGCGGCCGGATATGTTATGCGTCTACGCGTGGGTGGTGCACTCACATAGAAACCCTTCGAAAGCTTCCAAAGAATCCCGAAAACATTCGGATTGCGAATTTTTCTGCAAGTGCTTTCGAACGCCCTGATAGTGCGGTTTTCTTCAAAGCTGTTTGACGAGAATTGCAAAGGAAACTATCCGAAGTTTAAACAGTAGGTTATGATGTCGAGTACCGGTTCTCCTGCAATAAAGAGTATCAAAGTATGGAGTCAGTCTAAGAAGTACTTGAGTTTCAATGGGTATTCTTTGATGTTATTTTTTACTTATTACTTACTGACCTTGGGTAACAAACAGTAGGGAACTACGTTTCATCTAGGGTTCTTAGTAACTATTAATACCAGGCGATGTTATGTATAACGAATGCAGACGAACGAAGTGCGGTATAGATTATTGCAGTTTTCGCTCTGTTGACGTGGCTTTTCTCAGAAACTACAAAAGACTTTGGAAACTCTTTCAGTAGAATATTGCTTTGACTCGTGGCATCCTCTCCGTTTTTTCCTTTTCCTCTCTGTCTTCAGTACTAACATGTTCCATACGGCGGTTTCATTTTGTCCGAACACTTTTTGTATTTCACCATTTTCGTTTTTTTGTGGCGTCTGTTAAGAAAGCCTCGACTTATGTCGGGGTTCATCGCTCTGGCGTCGCTTTTGACAAGCATCTTCTACCATTTTTTCAGTTATACACATAAATGTTAAGCATCTCCGCTATTTCGGTTCCGTTTCTTTTCACTTCGAGTTTTTCAGAAGATCTTTCGATAATTCCACGCCCATCAAATGGGAGGAATTCATTATGGAGAAGAAGTAAACGACAACTTCGGGCACTTATGTCGAGGTACTCATTTTGCCATCGCTCGTATTTTGTTTCCTTTTTTCCAATGTTGTTCTTTATGATTGAGTATCAACAGTTCGTTGGTTGAAGCATGGCGGCAGATTAGTGATGGGTGGGGATCAAATTGTTGTGAAAATTCTGCAATTATATAGCAGTCGTCGAAACCTTGAGTTATTGAATATAATTGCTCAATCCTTCTTTTTGTGGCCGGGTTATCGTATAGGAAAGTAAGTCCATGAAAGTTTCATTCCGTAGAAAGTCTGGGATAGACTGAATTTTTGATTCTGAGTGAAAGATGATTTTAACAAGCTCACATTATACAAACATTTCGTTTTGTTTTGTTCATTTTTGTTTTGGTTATTCCAGACATGTTCGGCCTCCTCGACCAGATCTCAGACTAGTACAGGTCTCATCCAACGTGTGGTGCACACGTTTTAGCATTACATCTATGTCGCCAAAATATCTACCAGATTTCCTCGGCCAGGTGAGTTCAGCAGATTTCTGTGTTAAGAGTTTTCTGTTCCATACTCTGTTCCTTCGAAATCACACCCTGAAATGTCCTTTGGCAATCAGTTTCGCATTGCATTTTCTGCCCTCAAGTTCACATTCTGATCATTTTATTCATTTCACTATTGTTTCAAACCGGCGTTTACAAGTAGTTTTGCGATGAGAAAAGGGAGCAAAAAGGAATAAATCAAAGCCATGTTGGCAATATTATACATATCTGGGGTCCATGTCTGTCTGCGCAAATTTGCGTATAGGCTATAGTTCGCCTACATGATCGTGCTCCTGAATACGAACAGCGATCATGAGCGGTTCTCGCTGCCATTTTCTTTTCGTTGATTTGGGGGACTATATTGGAAATGGCATACTGTTTGCACGACGTGCAAACACCCTTCGATAGTTCTGATCAAAAGGGAAAGATTGCCATTTTCTCTCACAGCTCCTCATACTCGAATGAACACGGCGAAAATTGATTTCATGAAACAAAGTAAATGGGAGTAAGGGCATTTCCAAACGAATATCCACACTCGCGTTTGGGTTCTAATATCTAGGCCTACACAGAATTTCCCCTTGTGTAGTTGAGTGCTGAGCTGAATCCATTTTTTATATATTATTATTCCCCTCTGGCTGCGTTTGTTCCAAACGAAGCAACGAAATATACCTATTTNAAGAGTGAGACAGGAATAGGGAAAGTAGGTCGTTCGCTTTTGATTTTATTTAAAATCAGCACCGTTTTTCGCATAAAACTTCAACCCTTCTCACCCTGCTGATCATTTCCATTGCTTAGCATAAGAATGGTTGACGGTTGTTCTACAACATCTGCATTTTTCTCTTTTTCGTGGTTGTCCTATCATAGGTTCAGAATAGAATAGAATATCTTGGAAACTTATTCGAGAAGTTTTCTGACGTACTCCTTCACGGGTTCCTGCTTATGGGTTCTTATGGGGAAGACGTAAGCAATAGTTCAAGAGAATGTTACTCCTGGAATAGGAAGTTTGTTGTTTTGTCATTTTCACGATATTCACAAACAGGACCTATTCGAAATGCTACTCGAGGCACTAGTCAGAACAATTGGATGTTAATGCTGGAAATAGGGAACCTTAGGAACTGGTCATATCCAACAAAATCATTGGAGCGTTCCGGGATTGTGAACCGTTTCGTTTTTTTTTTCGAATTGGCAACCACTGGAAAGCTTGGGTGCTTTGAGCCTTTTTTCATTGTAAAGCTGTTCAGGTTGTGTATAAGACTTCTGTACTTCACCTTCAACCACGGCAAATGACCATAGATATGGCAGTGTTGGGAGGGATGCAGGATCGAACAGGTTCACCTCTTTTTTTTTTAACTATGCATGAAAACATCGATGATTTTGAAGCATCGAATCTTCATTCGATATCCTCATGCACTTCTCCAGCAACGAGCGAAGCTGAAGTAGATGATTTGGCTGTTCTCGTTTCACAGCAACGATTTCGAGATGACGACGGATTGACACGAGAGGAGCGAGCGTTTTTTGATAGGGTTCGTTTGTTTTTTGCTTCCTCTTCATTCCTTATAAGCACCTAAGAAGCGGAGGACGTGCACTACGTGCGTCTGAGGACGCAAGCGGCAACTTGCGCGGCGAAGTTCGTGACGACTTGTACGACCTTGACGCCAATTTTCGTTGCACAAACTCGAAGTAGAGAAGTTAAGTAGGGTCAGACGATCCTTCTAATCTTCTCTACTTCAAATTTGAGCCCCAATGATAGGCGCCAAAGTCGTTCAATTCGTTACGAACTTCGCCGCGCAATTTGCCGCGCGTATCCTCGGATGCACGTAATGCCACCTACCCCTAAGAAGCTGATCCTAGCCCCAGAGTGACAACTTTCACGGTAACGGCATACTGTTGTTCTTTTTAGGGCTTTACTCGTTACCAGTTACTGTCACGAGGAAATACGTAGTGGGCGCAATTGCCTCACGAAATTGCATATAGTTTAGATAGATTACTCACTGAAAATTCTCCTATCTACTTAGCAAAGTTTGTTTTACGAATTGACGTGAATGTTTCCAGGTTGTTTCTGAGTGCACATCACTACGTGCAGCCATGGACGCGGGAGGAATCGTTACGTCATCGTCACAAGGAACATCACAGGTGGTGTTAGCTCTTTAACACAACTCATTCAACATTCTAATGCTTTCACTCCAAAATGTCATGGGTGCTCGAGGTGCAGTCGATTGCTTCGAACAATCGTTCCCTTTATGCCAAAGCTTTGCAGGTAGCCGCTTCCAAAGATGACTCTTCACCAGCCCGAGCTGAATCTCGTCTCGACGATACTGAACAGACTATGAGTACCACCAGTACATGGCATGACGAAATTGATTCGCTTGAGTACATAGGTAAGTGAATTTTGTTCCTGTTCCTAATAGTACCTCTATAGTTATCGCCCACAGTTCGCATTGTTAAAAATCGAAATAAGTGAAAGGCAAATTCCTTTTGAACCTACGGAAGACAGCAGGAAGTAGAAGATTTATTGAAAATGAAATCGTACATAATCCAGAGTTTATACACACTCAAGATCACGCTCCATTCGGAAAAGTCAGATCGGTTCTTTCCGCTCTTCCCAGGCCTACTCAACGCCTCATCATATGCTTCGCCTTCTTAGTATCGTTCTGGTACATGGGGTATCCTGACTAAACGTTCTTTTTGCTGATGCGTATTCGCAGCTGGATGGTAGGTGTTCTCGTACATTTCAGTCAACCAATACGTTATCCGCATCGTTGTTTTTTTCGAGCACAATTCGTTATGGAATCACTTATCGATTCCTTATCGATAGTCCATTATCCAGACGAAGTCACTAAGGACGGTAAGGCTTATGTCATGTTCTGTGGTGATGTTTATCTGGATCTTCTCTTCTGGTTTCGGTTGGTCCCATTTGATATGACGGAAGNATGCCTCATTTTGCGACTGGTTCGCTGTGATGGCCGATTTGATGGACTGCTGAATGCCATTTGTTCTGGGATGAGAAGAGATGGACCGTCTGCTTGGTGGTTTTGTACTTCTTCACTACAGTGTCAAACGCTGTCATTAATCAGCCGGTACACAGTTACTCCGTTCTTGATTTCAGAGACAGTGAGCAGTGGTTAGTAGTGATTGATTAACAATTCCAAGTGATGTTCGTAAACGTAACGGTGTAATTTTTCTAACTAGTTTCTTTAACGACTTGACCATAATTCTTCTCGGAGCCTGTTAAGGAAGGCAGCCATGATGGATCGCTTTCTCCGCTCCATCTCTCTGAACAGAGGGGGTGTTCACTGCTCCTATGCCGTATACCGATGCGTTGGCTGTTAGAACATTTTCTTCGTGGGATCGTATCGAGCGAGCACATCCTTTGCGCTTCGGAAGATATCGTAGACTAGTTGGGCAGCACGCTTCCTCCAGTAGTAGTGCGTCCAGCGATGCACGAAGTTATCGCATATCGCCAACGATGTTGTAGCCAAACATCCGCAGAGCATACTCTTGGAATGATGGGAAGTGTGGCTTTTTGCCAATCACCACGATTTTGGCGGATTTGGTCGTTGCCTAGCCGAATCGATGGTGTTTCGTATGTCGAAGCAAGGGAACATAACTGTTTTTGATGCGAGCGGGGGACCTATAGTGAAATATTCTTGTGAGGTGAGCTTCCACATCTGCAACGTGCTCCTTGTTGATTTACTAGGGGACGATGACGTCTCCTAGTGATCATCAAGGACGTCAGGTACGCAGCGCAACCCTTCAGTCCGCGAATCATCGAATCAAGGATTTGCTGAGATATGCCAATTTGATCCTGAATGGGAAGCGATTGCAATGGATTGGACCTATAGGTGTGTTGATGTTTAGTAACTCGTCCGCTTCGCAATCGACTTCAATCTGAGGGTGTGCAGAAATCGATCTGCGTGAAGATCGTGCCGCCACTTAGCATCGTAAAACATCTTCCAGTGTCCAGAGTGCTGGTGTAACATCAGCGAGTTGGTTAGCCTAACGAAAAAGTCAGTTCAGAGACGATTTCTTGACGATGATGACGGATGCTCTCTGGGCATAGTAGCCTGCTGGAAAGATATTTCCTCACAGCGAACAGTCGACGTTTTTGCGCAATGCGTGAGCTTGCGTCACAAGGGTTTTTTTCTTCGAAGATGAGCACCGAATTCTTGCGAAGGCTTCGCTTTGGTCCTTGCACACCGTGCTTCTGCAGCCCCCTTCATGGAAACGCCCGGGTAGCTGATCTTCAGCTTAGCATGATCTCTTCTTGGCAATATGTCGCGGATCAGCTGGGATAATCGCACCATTGATATCCTTTAGCAATGGTTCGGTTAGTTTTAAGATCTTCTCAATCCACTTTCGCTCAAAACGTCAGATTTTCCGTGACGGAGCAGGACCTCTTTAACGGTGCTGCCTTCTATTAGAATTCTTTGTAGCGAAGTTGATATTAACACTATCACTAGTTGGGATTCTCGTTCCTTTGTGGGCGTTGATTTCTGCCTTTTTGGTCAAATGTAACGGGCTTCCAATNTTTTTTCTTCGAAGATGAGCACCGAATTCTTGCGAAGGCTTCGCTTTGGTCCTTGCACACCGTGCTTCTGCAGCCCCTTCATGGAAACGCCCGGGTAGCTGATCTTCAGCTTAGCAATGATCTCTTCTTGGCAATATGTCGCGGATCAGCTGGGATAATCGCACCATTGATATCCTTTAGCAATAGTTCGATTAGTTTCAAGATCTTCTCAATACACTTTCGCTCCAAAACGTCAAAGATTTTCTGTGACGGAGCAGGATCTCTTTAACGGTGCTGCCTTCAATTAGAATTCTTTGTAGCGAAGTTGATATTAACACTATCACTAGTTGGTATTCTCGTTCCTCTGTGGGCGTTGATTTCTGCGTTTTTGATCTAATATGACGGGCTTCCAATCTCCTCGATCTTGAATCAGCGTGTTCATGGCGCCAGAACGGGCAGAAGACCCGGGAGCGCTCTCAACTCCAAGATGGGTTTGATTTCTCAGCGTGATTCGGCTTTGGTACTCGGTGTCTGGTAGCTTCTTAA